AGATCAACACAGAATTTAAATAGACCAGGCCTAGGGAACTGCCAAATGAGCAGTCCACTATGTCATATGCAGTTAGTAAAATGCCCTCTTGTCAAAGAGTTCAAAGTTTAAACAGTATCATGAACAATGTTGGAGATACTTATTATATATTGCAATTAAAGATTGGTGTCATCAAAATGCATGTAATTGTCTGTCTCCTAGGGATTATTCATTTTGGTGTTTGGGACTCTCTGGGATAAGAAGGTAAGGATTCCAACTATTTCTTACATTATATCAAAATGCTGTTGAAATTTGAACAGAATTCCTGTATTTACTGATTGACTAATTTTTTTAACAAATAGATACAAGAAGCCCTGTTGAAGAGGAATTCATCATCCAAATGGAGTTCACAGCAATCAAAGGTTAGACTATTGACCTAAAAATGTCTTTCAGTTACTGCTGAGTAGTCTAACATTGTCTACTGCACTTTAAATTCTGGATTATTTTTTTGAACAAGTCAGAGAGGACACTAACAACATAAATATGATTATACCCCTTTTTAAAAGTTCGTAATTTTCACTATAATTGGTAAAAAAATGAGAAAGCGGTTAGTGGATATTTGCTTTAAATTCCACAAGAAATAAATTACAAAATGTAACTGAAACTTTTAGTTAGAAAACAGAATTTTTTTTTTTTTTGACACTAGTATTTATTCCCAAACTGAGAGAAATGCAAGGGGGACTTCTTCGGGAATTATCATTTCAACTTACACTTCTGCATTAGAACACCTTAATAAAAATGACAGGATGTATAAGAAACTTAAAAGGTTGTGGGCTGAAAGAGGCCTTCAAGATCATCTAGTTCCAACACCCACCCCACCCTCTTCCTGAGCTGCCAATGGTGCTGGCATCACCCTTATATGACAATAAAGCTTGATTTTATATTATTATCTGAACAGGGTTTATTCAGAAGAGACTGTACAGGTATTATGAAAGAACTAGGAAGCCAACTTAAAAGCAAGGATAATTAAGAAGATGAAAACACAGGCTCAAAGAAATTAAGGAGCCCATTTAGGTTGAACTGTCAGTTCAGAAGAGCAGCATTGGATCAAATCACTCCAATTACTGCAGGAATTGCTGGAATTGGAAAGTACCCTCAGGGATCATCTTGCAGAACACTCCTATCAGAGCATGGTCAGCTAGAGCTCAGAGCTGTGTCCAGTTGGGTTTGAGTAGCTCCAAGGATGGAGACACCACAAGCTCTATGTGCAGCCTTTTCCTGTGTTTGGCCACCCTCATCATGCAACAGTTTCATCTTAAGTGGGATTTCCTGTATTTCTATTTGTTCTCAAAGCCTCTCGTCCTTCCACTGGGCACCAAGGAGAAAAGTCTGGCTCTATCTTTAGTCTGTCCTAATCAGACAGCTCTGAGTATGTCCTGGCATTGAGTTTGTTCCTCCCCAGGAACAGGAGGACTTTGAACTTCCCTTTGCTGAACTTCCTAAGATTTCTGTCCTTCCATTCCTCCAGCCTGTTGAGGTCTGAGAATGAGCAAATAAAGCATTATCAAAGTCTTTGATTAAGCATTTTATATGTTATTTGTTTACCTTCTTTCTCTAACACCTTATGATATAGGTGACAATACACAACACTGCCTAATTTCCCCCACCAAAGTACAACTAAATAATGAAGAAGGACCGAAAAGAAAATATGTGCTTTTCATCTCATTTTTTAGTACATCCTTGGAGGAATCCCATTAAATTCTCAAACCACTCCAGAACCAAAAAAAGCCCACTTCATTTTAGCAGCAAAACGTTCCTTCCTTCCTTCATATCTGGACTGCAGAGAGTTGTGTTCCAATGCCCTCTAGCGTGTCAAATTAAATTTGCCTCGGATTATCTCAGGCTGTTGGCTGTCAAGAACAATCCCCATTCACATAAATCTTAGCTTTTGTGGCTACCTTAATGGCCATACTGGCAGAGATAAGAGAACAGGATCCCATACTGCCTGTTAGGACAGACTCTGGAGCCTGAGCCGTCCCCCCCAGCCAAGAGTTAGAGATAAGCAGTTTGTGTCCTGTAGTTTCTTTTAAAGTCGATCTCCTCCATCACCACCATAAACATGTAAATGTGTGAACTTGATACCTCACAAACATCTTGCTTTACCTCCTGTGGATTTTTTGCTCACACTACTGAAACAGTTTGTTGGAACCTTCTTTTTTCCTCCCTAAAATGGGGCTACAAAAAACTTCATTTCACAAAAAGCAATTTTCTCTCTTTCAGTCATCCTCCCTGATCCTGGTGACACCAATGCTTGCTATGAGCTACCCATTTTCAAGAACCTTTAACAACTTATGTGGGAAAACAGGTATGTGACAATAGATCTCCCTTACTGAAGCACAAACAGGATTTGGCATTCATTCTTGCTCTCAGGGTCTGTCTGTCCTGATATCCATTCATCTATTTGTCTCTCCATGTATCCATAGATGGTTTTTAACCTTCTAATGCAAAGCAACTGTAACAAGTCAATTGTAGCATAATGCTAGCAGCGAAATTGTCCATCTCTAAAACAATTATTGGATGTTTTACCAATTCTAAACCTCACTAAGTGAGCTTTGTTTTGAGCTCAATGAGATCACAGCACAGTTCATCCATTATTCATGTACTCTTCACCACTTTGGAACTGCACTTCTTCAATGTTCTCTGGCTGTCATTTTGTCGACATCACCGTTTTAGTTATGGCTTCATCTTGCAAAAAGCATTACTGGAAATAACATTTAATTTCTAAATGTCCAGTTTTTGTATTCACACATTGTTCAGAGAACAATGACACTTGGGTCTTAGCTTAGAGCCTTGTGGCCATAAGAGGGAGGGAGCTGGAGTTCATTTCAGGAGCCTGTGGATGTGCTGTGTTCTGGATGTGTCCCTGTGCTCCAGGAGAAGCACTAAGTGCCTCCATTTGTGTGAGAAAATCATTGCCCTGTGACATGGTTGGCAATTCAAGCTGACACATCCTGGCTATGTCACCAAATACGGTGAGTTCTGTGGTATTGCTGTAATCCAGGTGGTGCCAGGGCTGCAGGGCAAGGCAGAGCCACCTTGGCCATCAGCACAGCTGCCACTGTCCTTACTTTGCAGTGACAACGTCCCAGGCTCTCCGTCCTTGTCTAACCCCTGTGCTTTGTTTTGCAGGCAAATACAGAGTATCTTCTTCAGACCCATCCACCTCTTCCACTGAAAATACTTCCAAGGCATATTCCCTGCTTAACTGAAGCACTGCCAATGCTAAATCATGTAACTCTGAAAGGACTCTTCCAAGACACACACAAAAAGTACCTGGGAGTCACCAGGGAGTGGACTGCTTCATTTTGACTAAATTGTGCCTTGGTGAATTCTTCTGGAATTATCATTTCTGGTTAATGTGTAAGGCAGGGAAGCTGAGAGACGTGGAATTTCACAAGGTTTGCCAACCCCAGAAGAGATAACAAGGATTTGAAGCCTTCATGTGCAAGAAAGGACATTGGGAGTGAAGAATTGTCAGCCCTAAAGTGGGTGCTTAGCACTATGCAGTACTGAGAGATGAACTGCAGTGCTTCACACAGTTATTGTCCAGTGGATTTGGTATTTCCCCAATGAACTCTCCAAATGACTCCAAAGGCCTATGCAGATGCACAAATACCTCACGGCTTCTCTCTTGCCCTTGTATTAGAGTCTGGAAAGGCCATAGTGGTTTCCACTTTCTATTTAAGATTTTCTGGAACTAAAAATTTCCAACTGAGAAGGCCCATTTCAGATCTTCACTTTTGACTCACATAAAATGAAGACCGTGATGATTCCTGCATGGTCTTCTTTCAGATGGAAAGACTGAAAGCTCCATGTGGCAATTTTTTGAAGAAAAGGAAGCTTTATGCCCTTAACAATATTTTTTTTTCCTTTGATATGTAATGTGGAAAGACAGAGATGGTTGCTGCCCTCTGCCACAGAGGGGACTGCATTTATTTAATGCAAAGTAATGTTAGTAATGTTAAGAATGCAAGGAGTGCCTTGTGTAAAGTCTGTATGTTTGGGACTTCTCTCAGAGGAGGAACACACTTGAAGGACTCAGAGAAAAAGCTCTATAGTGAATATAAATCATCATGTGCCAGGCAGGATGAATGGTTTTATAAATTATTGCTCTAATACTACATTTGTGGAACCATTTATTTCAAGGCTGTACACCTTTAAAGGCAGGACTCCTGTCTTGAGAAGAACCTGAAAAGTATTTATAATGCCCACAAATGTTTCAAAATTTAATGTACAACGTGGTAGAATCATGAAGATTTAGATTTGAGGTCAATATCAAATACTGCAGACAGATGGTACAGTTCTGTTTGATTGTCAGGGAACCAGGCCTGTGTTTGCCAGTGGTGAAGCTGTTCCTGGAGCTTTGGGGTGAATCGGGATGGGAAGCTGTTCTATACAGTGAGAAGCACTTGTGATGGCTTGGTATGGACAAGGTGGTATGGGCAATACTTTATGAATTCTGTGTAATAACTAATTAGTGTAAGTACTCCAGCACAGCTCCAGGGAAGGTGAGGGATGATGTAGTGACCTACATAAGTATCTGTACCCTTTAGCATTCTTAAGCAATTTTTGTAGGAACATTTCCAGAATCTTAATACAGGTGTTTTGGTGTGATTTTTAACAGTGTTTTGAGAGGTTCAGCCAACTATTTAATCTAAGTTTGAACCTTGGCTGGGAGTAAATGAATAGGCTCTCAACACTTCTGCTTGCTATGGGATGAAGAAACAAAACTTTCAAAATACACACAAGAAAAGGAGTGTATGAATTTTCATCAGGCAGCAGCTCTACATTACACACTTTAACTGCCACTTCCCCAAAAAAAAAAAGACAGATTGCTGCCAAGCTGTTGGCAGAGCTTTTAATGCATATGAGGATTGGTTTTCTCCAAGTTACATTCATCATTTTTCACTGAAAATGGGTGTCTTATGAACCAGGTTATAATTTGTGCCCTCTGCAGTTCTTTATCTTCTAGCCATCATGGAAATGAGGACGATAGTTAAGACAATGGTTCCAGCAATTCCACCCATCAGCATTCCCAGGATGTTCCCATGGACATGCCTTGACTGACATCTCTCTCCAGTGAAGAAGAAGGCTCGTCCTGATGGGCACCTGGGATAACAAAACACAGATTCTGTGGACCAGGAGCCTTGTCATGCCCTCACCCCAAAGTCCTCACCTTCGCTTTCCCAGATGAGCAGTTCCCATTGGAGGGGTTCACGTCACAACATTCCTACCTTGTCAGGAGGCTATTGCCACACCCTGGAAGCACCACAGAATGGGGCTTCTCTGCTTTATGCAAAGAAACCTGCCCTCCTGGCTGCTGGTAGGAACCAGCAACTGTGGTAAAGTATTTAGTTTCTACTATTCCTTGAAGACATGATGGTTTAGACCTCTGAGGTCTGTAGCTCTGAATACTTTTTAGCTGCATCACGGGCAGAAGAAAGGCAGGGCAAGGAGGGAGGAGGTCTGTGGTACCTGCAGCTTGCTTTTCCTTTCACATTCACACAGACTCCATCGTTCTGACAAGGGCTCGGGTCACACGGGTCTGGCAGATAAGGCAGCTGGTCTTGGATGGGCTCCACGTCCTGGGCTTCTCTCTTCTGCCTTTCAAGAACGAGGCCTTCTGTGAGGGCAGATTGCACATGTTCCACAGGAACTTCAGTGTTATTGAGGTGAATTATATCTTTAAGAAAAGGAGAAAAAAATCACTGAATGATGCTGTATGTAGCATACCTTACATCAGGGGCTCACAGGGTGCTTTCTGGACCAGAGGGTGCTCCTTGTCCATTTTCCCTTTACAGAGCTCTTGCTGTACCACCACAAGTTCTGTGTATTTAAAGCACAAGATAAAAATAATACTTAAATTGCAGAAACTAGTTAGGCAAATCTGTGATGTTCTATGAGGCTGTTCTATTTGGAAATGAACAAATGGCCTTCAGTATGTTTGGTGCTTAGAAATGGACATAGCTACTGGTCAGGGTGCTTAAAGGTGTCCAAGAAGTTCACATTTCAAGGCCCACTGCCATTTAGATCCCTCTTAACTCACAATCACTTTAGTCAATCTCACCCACTTGACACTAGGACACAGAAATGCTTTTTAAAGTTGCTCCCCATTAGAAGAGATCTTGGAGACAGATGTTGAGAGTTATTTGAACATATGAAAATTGAAAGAATCACCTATTTTCTAAGGAAATCAGGAAAGGGGTTTTTACCATTAAATTCTGCAAAAATAATAAGGTCATCATTTTTCAGGAAGCTTCTCCGTCTCAGCTGGCTGTGAGATATGAATTTATTCCACCCCCGGCTTACACTTCTGTTGCAATTGCACGACTCATCAAACCTTCCAGCAATTGATGGTTTATCCCATGTTATACTTCCACTATCTGCAAAGAGAAAATGAGAACAACAAAGTTGTGCAGATCAAAGTATTACATGACTTTTTCCTGCATTACTGTGTTAAAGGGGATTTATATATAAAAGCAAGTTCAGGCCTGAAATTCCTAAACAAAACCCAGAGGACTGACAAACTAAAGGTGCCAGGTGAACTTCAGGTTAGGTCTGCATGAGGATTCTTAGTCTATGTGATGCCATTGAAATTCCACAACTCCTCTTTCACTGAGAACTAAACAAACAGAAACTGGACAGACTAAGGACACTCCTGGACCAGTTTGTAGGTACCTATGGTTTAGAATTTTTGTCATTACTATGATTGTTTAAACATATTCATATTTCAGGTTTAAAAGCTCCTACTGAAAAAGTATGTACTTAAATTCCACTAGAAAAAAGTAGAAAGGGATGGAGATTCATGTGTATTATTTTTTTCTGTACCAAACTGAGTTTTGTCCTATTATTCTTATTTTTATCATAGAATCATAGAAAAGTTTGAATTGGAAGGTACCTAAAAGATCATTTTGTTCCAACCCCCTGCCATGGGCAGGGACACCTTCCACTGAAACTGCTCCACGCCCCATCCAGCCTGGCCTTGAATCCTTACAGGGATGGGGCATCCACAACTTTTTCATCAGCCTGTTGCAGTGCCCCACCATCCTCACAGTAAAGAACTTCTTCCTAATATCCAATCTAAATCTGCTTTCAGTTTGAAGACAATTCCCTTTTGTCCTGGCACTCTGTGCTTTTGTAAATAGTCTCTTTTTTCTTGCAGGCTCCCTTCAGGTACTAGAAGGCCACAATAAAGTTCCCCTCATTGTTCAGCCTTCCATTCTCCAGGTTGAACAATTCTGAATTAACACATCCATGAGAAAGGGTGAATGTTCTGTATTCAGACCATGTAAACTTAGGTTCACTAGCGTGTTGAAGTTGTCTGATCCTCCAAAATGCAGTTTTAACTTAAATTACTGTTTAGTGACAGAATACTGCACCCCGCTGGCATTCCATCAGCCTGTGGTGATATGTCACCTATGGACAAACCACAGGTAGAATGGGAATTGCCAGGTCTTGAGAAAAACCTATCTTTAGAGTCAAGCCCTGAACAGTTTGATTGTTATACAGTCTTCCACAGGGCGGGAATTCTGAGTCACACACAGGGAAGATGTGCACAGAAAAATGTCCCAAATTAGGAAATATGGCCAAAGTTTCTCAGCTCCGAGTCCTACACTCAGTCCTCTTACTCAGAGTCCTTGGCTGTCCTTGTCTACAGGCAGGCACTGCTTACCTGAGTTAACATGGTCCTTGCTTGTGGTGAAGCTTTTGCTCGAGGACATCCTTTTCAGGACGTCGGGGTCCTGGTCCAGCACTGTGAGTGTGACCTGGCGGTTCAGAGCCGGCCACTCCAGAACTGCATCGTTCTCCCCACTGCACAGGTGGAAGGCAACACGAGCGTAGCTGCTGTTTTGGTAGTTGGGAAACACGCTGATGCCAAACCCATAACCCTCAGGGCTGTAAAACCGGGGGCTTTCAACAATGCTGATGGATGAGTTCTCAAGGATTTTGCTGAAGTTGCGAATGACCCACACAGCCATGGGACAGGGGGTCTCTGTCAGAGTCACATCATCAATGGCAATCCCACCTGATGAAGAGCTGGGGTTGCCCTTCAGTCCTTGGAAGAGGTAACGGAACTTCTTCTGAGCGTTGAGGGTTACGTGGGCAATTTTCCAGTTGGAGTCACTGTCCGCTTTGGTAAAAGGGAAGAAAAACATTGCCATCAGTGGGATTAGTGATATTATGAAGCAACTTGCCCCTAGCCATCCATCCCAGCTGCACTTTTAGACAACTGGACCCCTCACAGAGTCCTGAAGGCCAGAGATCTTAAGCTGATATTGTGACTATACTACATCCACATTGTTTTGACATCTAAATGCTTTGGACATGTTGTACAAGGAATTCTTCGCATGTTAGGGAATGACAGCCTCCAGTACAAAGGACAACAGCCTAAGGGCAAAGATTAAACAAGAGGATGGGAACCAATGACCCAGTGTGTTCCTGACACTTTTTCATGTATTTATCCTTCACTGCAAACTGTTGCAGCCTGATGTAGGCAGGTCTTGTGTTTTTACAACATAAATCATATGGAGCTGCAGTGGCTGAGTTTGTCCTATTTAGCAAATCACCCAAAGTGGGAATCCAGCTCACATTTCCAAAACTGCATATGCTTTTGTATTTCCAGCTATCTAAAAATCAGTCTGAGGTTCTTATTGACAGTAGAGGAGCACAGGTATTTTACACCTGAACAGCCCACTCCTATATCATATAGCAGCCAGTGGAGACACAGTCAGCTGGTCTCCAGCATGGCCTGGGGTCCCTCTCAATCACTGCGTGCAAAATAATATTAGGAATGTTGTGACTTCTGTTGTGAAGCACCAAAATTATATAATTACAACCCACAGTTTCTCTGCTAAATGTGATCATGTAAACCAAAATTCTTAGCTGTATTGCAAGATATTCTGGTAACTTCAGGAAAATCTTTTGGTTTCTGAGCCAGTCTTCTGAGTTCATGGGCAAAGTAAGACAACGCCTCCTCCTCTCTACTCAAATATTCATTTTATTTTCAGAATTACCTTGAAAGGTTTGAATTTTCCTCATCTTACGAATGTTCCCAGTGCCATCATCCTCTTTAAGCCAGATGATCAGCTTGTCAGAAGGGCTTCCTGTGGTCCTATAGAAGAACTGGAGGCACTGCTGAGTTCTCTTTGGATAAAGGATTCGGGACTCTAGGATTGCCACCTCATCTGCCTGGCCAGAGTTGGTGTTGAAGTACATGAAGTAGCCAGCATCTGGGAAGAAAGGGTAGTCTGTCACTGCCTGTTTACACAGTTCCTGCAAAGCTGCATGGTGTAAATTCACCATTTCATCTGCACTCTTTTAGTAAACAGAAGAGTAGTACTTAACATGAACAATAAAGGAAATTACATGTGACAATCATCCAAGACAGACTGGGATAAGAATAGAAGTAGTAGTTCAGCATATATATGGAACCCACTGCTGTCAGCTCATGTCAGTTTTGTATTTGTTGGTCTAATTGGAATTTGGATTCCTCAGGAATGTCAGAGATATATGAGGCAGAGAATTCAGTGTTGACCACAAGCAACTAGTAGATACATTTTTTTTTACTTGATTTATACTGAAGATAATCTAAAAATGAGATCTTAGAAGTCATGTGCTATATTACCTTGTAAAGAGTAGGATAATTTCTTAGCAGTAATAAAGATAATAAACAGGGGTTGAACACAAAGCATTGTCCTGATCTTGAACAGAAGAAGGTCTTTTCTTACAGCTTGCCCAAACACTTCAAAATTCAGTGACTCACCATAAGAAAATTACTTAAGAATTCCTGCTCATCTATTTCTCATTAACATTTTTGCAGTGTTCTTTTCTTTCATTTTGAAGTGTCTGCTTTTATCCTCATATTTACAACAATTCACCATTTGCACACATATCATATCTTGGTATTACAGGAAGTTGTCATGTCTTATCTGTATTGTGTTGCTTTTCTGTTATTCAATTTAGTCAATGATTAAATTAATAAGTTATTTTTTTTTAGCTGTTATGTGAAAGTTCCATGGACTCTTGTCCAAGATAACATATCTTAGAATCACAGGATGGTTTGGGTTGGAAAGGATCTTAAGATCATTTTGTTCCAACAGTTATACTTGCAGCTGCATAAAGGCAGTGCAGCTTCCTGTAGGGTTAGTAAAGGGTCTTGAGCTCCTTATCAGGATCTCTCTAATCAGTCAGGGAAATGATTTTCATTCCCTTCCACATGGTAGCTATGTTTTGAACTCATATCCACAGAAATCTTGCTAGAGATTGTTCTATGCAATGTATGACACTTGACCATTAGTTAAACTTATTTTAGTTTTAAGTGTATTAAATCCAAGTATCTCTCTTGCTCCAAGTGAGAAGCAAGGCTGTGAGCCTGTTGTTGCAATTATTATAGTAACAAATCCCCAAATTATCTAGACTCTACCTTATTTTTGATAAGAAAGTCAAATAAAGGCAACATTAAGTACCTATGGCCATTACAATATGGCCTTGGCAGATTTCAGCAGACTCCCTAAATGTTAAGCTGTATTTTCTCTCCTTTAGTTTAGCTGGCATTAAGTCAAAAACCCAGAATATCAAAACCATCTGGGGGAAATAGGATCCATCTATGTTAGAAACTTAGAATTTGCCCCCACTTAAAATGATTGCAGAACCAAAAATGTCAGAAATTCCTGATGGAGTCAATGATTCTTTGGAGGTGCAAAAAGGAGAGACACTCCCTACTAATTGAATTCATTTCTACACTCTGGAGATCCTCAGAGGCACTCACCCATCTCCACTAACTCTTAATAAACCATTGATACTTATTTTGTACTGAGTCACTGGATGCTAAAACCTAAGTGCACATTAAATGCCCAGTTCAGGCAGATTGGATTTTATGTGATAAAGTCAAAAACTCAGTTAAATTATCTTTTTCAGTTACAATTATACTGTACAGGATGAGAAAGAATTAAGAATCAGCTAAGGGTTAGAAGTATGTGTTTCTATAAAATATCAGGTGGTTTTCTTGAGTTATATTCTTGGGCCTGATCAATGGCTACCAGCATTATAAAAGGTTGTTAATAACAACAATTATAAAGGTTGTTAACAGCATTTGTTATTTCCAGTTGGTGGGTCACTTGAGGGGAATAAACTCCTGAGTGCAGCAAGCCAAAGAGTAACAAAGCACAAGTGAATGTGCTTCAAGTCAGGAGTCCTTCCTCCTCTACTGAGGCAAAATTTACCACAGAAGTCACTTTTATCTTGGAATTGTGTAGTAGTTTACCCTGTCTAAACAATGACAAATTAGCCTCTTGCTTTTCAGAACTCCCTGTTGGGATTTAATCTTTATTCTCAGCTGTAAACTAGCACTTTGTGACTGGGACTGGGGTTTACTGGTCTATATTTAAGAATGCCTTCCTTTGAAAAATGGTGAAATTACCACATCAAAATTAGAATTACCCCTGAACTCCTATCATAAAATCTTTGCAAATTTCTTCTACTTCCAGAACTAGAATTCCACATGCTGAACTTCTCATTTGCATTGCAAACACAACATTTATGAGTGGCTACAGGTGCTGTTTGATTCTCATCACGAGGTAATATAATTCTTACACAGACTTTGGAAGTTGCAGTAAATTGTTTTCCAGGTTATATTTAAAAGACCTCTATTTCAGATTGTTCTTTCTCCCCTTTGATCTTGCAGGTGTGGACAATTTTCCACTACATTTAAAAAGTTTAGTGAGAGTGGGAATACAAACACTGTTTAGAGTCTTTATCAACTTCTCTGAACCCTGTAGTTGTAGTCAACCCTGGAGAAAACTCAGTTCAGAAAGTGTTTTGTTCCTTTCTTTTACCTCTACAGCGTCCAGAATATGTGTGGTCCTCCTGCCCTGTCACACTGCCCTGCTGGCGAACCCAGTCTTGGTCATGCTTGGTGCCTTGGATCATACCACAGATGTTTTCAAGCTCAAAAGAGCACTGGTCCAAAAAGGTGTGAGTTGAAGCTGAAAAATAATACACACATGGTCACCTCAGAGTGAACTCCTAGCTCATTAAAATTTCTTCTTTAATTTTTGTGGGGGGTTGTTTACAGTAGTATAACCATCCTGTAGAGCAGACAGCCCTCACGTGAGCAGATGTGAGCCCAATGACTCAAAAGAGGAAACATTTGATTCCTGGAGGGATTCCCTGGATAAAGACAACAATCTTTGGCCTCTTTGCAGAAGGTTAATAAGCCCCATGTGGCAGTGACAGATGGTGACTCTCTCAGTGCCTCTTTGCCAGCCTTGGTGTATTTAACCATGCCTCGGCTGAGGTTATTTATCTTCATAGCAGTTCTCTCACTGATTAACCTGAGCTCTGTCCTTCCACTCCAGGCAAAGTCCACCCATTTACCTTGGGCTGGTTCAGCTGAGTTTGCCTTCAAGGTGATGCTTCTGCTGGCAGCACCAAGGGCACAATAACTTCCCATAAGCATCAAGAAGTGATCAGTGATGAGATCTTCAACCAGCTCAGCAAACACCTAGACAGTGTGGGACTCTAGACCTAGCCAATCTCGGGTGCAAAATAATCTGATTAAGTCCAAATGTCAGTAAAAGAGGATAAAGTGCAGTTGCACTCACCTCAAAAAAGCACAACACACCACAGGCAGAACACAAACACAGGTTTGAACTCCTGGGAGCAGCATGGAAGAAAAAGTGTGAATGGTTTTACTTTCCTTGACTAATCTTTACTAAAATAATGACAGTGAGAAGAGCCAAAAAGGGATGAGAAGGGAATAAACTGATTGTGTTTATCTGCACACCACAGGTCCTGTCCCATACCTATTCAAGCACATTTGAGAAGGGTTTTTGTGAGTTTAGAGACATAAGGGAGATAAACCAGCATGGCTCAAGTATAACCAAAGAAACTTGTTTGCCATGGTTAAATTCTGACTTACTGCAGTTGTACATGCGATTCAATCTTTCCAGATCAATGGCACTGAAGTCTAGACGTTGTCCAATTATGTCATCAAACTCTGGTATCTTTGCTGTGATTGTGGGGACACTTTGATTTTTGTTAAATGAAAGGGGTTCATAGTGCATCAATGATTCGTAGTCATAGGGGGTGTTCAGATCAGTGATGAAGGTGTCATCATACTTCACAAAATTGTGCTCTTGGCCTGGTAAAAGAACAGAAAAGTGCTTCCTTTTTAGAGAAAATGGAAAGGAAATTACATTACCATGTACCCTTGGATACAGTTTTCTAAGGCACAAATTATATACCCCAAAGCAATTACTTCACAACAAAATATTAAAACTTAGCAAGATTTGTGTTTGACATTTGGACAACAAAGCAGTGCCTTTGGATTGCAGCTCTGTGCTCTAACAGGTGACTTCAGTAAATTAAAAAATGAGTATCAATGAGCTGTAAAGAATGGGATATAAAGGAGGATAGATTAGAATTAATAGGAATGGTTTAACAGTAATGATCCTGAAAGATTAAGTTTAGGGACTAATGTACTCCATTCCAGAATCTGTGAATATTGATTCAAACATTTTCCAGGTATTGGATCATATATGGAGAAGGAGAGGCCCTGAAACTCAAAGGAAAAAAATATGACAGCCTGGAAGTGTCTTCAGGTTTGGTTCTTCCTTGAAATAAATAATGCCCTAGCAATTTCTGGGGAAAAAAGAAGGATATTTTTACCCTAGATTTACAATATTGATATGATATTTGTATTGATATGGCTTTTGGAAACATGTTTCTCATGTTTTCTTGGTGAAATAAGTTGTCCTTAGAGAAAGGTGTGTGCTAGGGCAAAGAGAGGGAGCCATTTCACATGCTTTGGTATAGAAGTAAAAAGAGCTTGCCAGCTTTTACTATCGCAAATAATGTTATCAGAATATTTGACACTGTTTTTCAAAGACAAAACAGCACATGACTGTGGTGGTTAACTACACTTGCTCTGCTTAACAGTTGCCCTCCCTTCTGCAAATCACAAAGATCTTCAGTTCAAGGCTTGAGATTATATAAGAGCTTGGAATTGTTTTCTTACAGAGACTTGAATTGCACCTTTTATCAAAAATTAAAAGAACCCCCTCTCTTTTATTTTGTCCTCTTCAAATAAGTCATTGTTATATAATACAGAATCAGATCTTACAGAGAACAACAGGAAAAACTGTCTAGGGATCAGGGGGACTGTGAAGAGTTTGCTGAAACTCATAAAGCTCCTAAATATGGTGATACTAAACCTGAAGGCAAGAACCTGCAGACACACCGGGTAGGAGGGAGCAGGACAGAACCCTATTTGATATTTCCCATACAATCTAATTATTTTAAGGGCTTTTTCACGTGCAAAGTGAATATTTTCAGTTTCAGGAAAGCCGGAGTCTCTGAATATAAAAACCTTTCAGATTTTGAAAGGATCATTGCCTACAGAAGAACTATCTCAAAACTCATCATCTAAATAAGTTTACAATTTACATTACATGATTAAAGGAAACAGATTCATAGATGGCAAGTAATTAGTTTAAAATAAGAGAGCAGAGCATTCCAAGAGCCAAGGGGAAATAAAAGTCCTGATTTCCAAGTGAGGCCTCTCTGTTCTGGCCTTAAACAATGTCTGGGTTTGACCAGAGAAGTTGCACCAAAATTTCTTAATTTAGTGTTCTCAGGTGTGGCCCACTGAAATTCTAAATTTTCTAAAATTCTATCCTTAGGAAGGTCTTTAAATCTAGAAGTGAAAATGGGGTATTGATAAATCTACACTTTGCAAAATCTATCTTGAACGATAAAACCCACCTGCAATAATTTCATCCCACCAGATATTCACGTAGTCATCCCGGTCCATCCTCGACTGCTCATGGTAAAATCCTAAAGCGTGCAGGATCTCATGTTCCACAATTGCTCTGTAGTCACACCCTGACCCAATTGAGAGGTTCTGTCCAGTCTGCAGGTCCCCCACCATGGACCAACACCTAAGAAAGACAGAGAGTTTACTCTCTGTTCAGTAGTTTTCTTCTCTGTGTTTAACTTTTCAATTTGCTCACTGGATTTAGAGTAAGATTATAGAAGTTTTCAATATTAAAGGAATCACATAAATCATTATTTGGATGCTGACCATGTGCCTTGATATTCTGAAAATACTCTAGCCTGAAAGCAGACTAATGCCCAGAAACTATCACTTCATTACTTATCCTCTGTGTCAGAGAAGATCACCCTGCATTTTTGAAAGCCACAGAAGTTTTGATCAGCCACCATCTGGCCAAGAAGCATAAAGCACACAATATACATGGAAATAGTAAATTCATCAAAACAGGCTGAGCGTTTTTGCAATAACTTGGGCTGGAGAAAAGACCCCAGGAGTATTTGGAACAGCAACATTTGGTCCTTTTTAACAGCAACCGTGTTTTGCATTTGCCAGAGGTATGAAAGGACATTTCTAGTATTAAGATCTTCAATGCTGACTTGTCAAAAATCATGGTGCTTGTAAACTTTTAAAAGAAGTGTCATAGGACACTCAAGGAAGAGCTGAAGGCAGAAACATGAACTTCTGGGGGAAAAAGTAATAGTCACAGCTGATACAGTGAGAAGATTTTTGTGCTTTTCTGCATTTTCTTTCAAAACATACTTAGCTGTAGGAAACAAATCCTTTCACTTCTTGAAAACTTGAATCTCTGTGCATAAAACCCTTTCAGAATTTGAGAGACTATTCATTAAAGAAGAGCCATGTCAAAGCAATAAGAAATATTACAATAAATTCTCTTCTCTTCTCTTCTCTTCTCTTCTCTTCTCTTCTCTTCTCTTCTCTTCTCTTCTCTTCTCTTCTCTTCTCTTCTCTTCTCTTCTCTTCTC